GGTCCCTGATGCTTTTGCTAAGCTTGTTCTAAGTAGGTGCTTTAGACCACTGAGCCATCTCTCCAGCCCTGTCTGGGTTCTTAAGGCGAGAAACTACATCCTGTTTCTCCACTTACAGAAGCTGCCTCTACTCTCTGCCAGTGTATGACCTCTGCAGGAGTCGAATGCTCTGCTCTCTGCTTTCAGAAATTCACCTCTTCTTTGACTCTCTTCTGGTTGCTTTTTTTTCCCCCCCTGGAGGTACTGGGAGTTAAACTCAAGGTTTTTGGACAGAACTACATATCTCCCAACCTTTTTTTTTTTTTTTTTTTTTGAGACAGGGTTTTGCTTAGTTGCTAAATTATCAGGGCTAGGCTCAAACGTGCAGTCTCCTGCCTCAGCCTCCCAGAGTGCTGGGATTCCAGGTGGACATCACCATACCCAGCTGTGATGCTCAGTAGCAGTGGTTATCAGCGCTGAACATTCTCTCCCTGGCACAAGGCACATTTGCATTTCCATCTATTTTGCGGTGCGGTGCTGGGTCTAAGCTCCGGGCCTCATCCATGCTAGGCAAGCGTTCTACCCTGAGCATCGCCCCCAGCCCCTACTCACTGTTTCATTCAGCGCACTTGGGTACTCTCTCTGCCAGGGCCACCTGGGGTTGAGCACATGGATAAATAAGATAGGGCTTTGCAAGTGTGCTGGTGCTTACCTGTAATCACAGCACTCGGGGGCTGAGGCAGGGGGAGCACAAGTCTGAGCCCAGTCTGGACAACTTAGTGAGATCCTGTCTCAAAGAGGGATTATAGCTTAATGCAAAGAACGTAGGTCCAACCTCCAGCACTATAAAACAAAACAGAAAGCTAGGTATGGTGGTGTACGCCTCTAATTTCAGCACTTGGGAGGCTGAAGCAGGAGGATCACTGAGTATTCTAAACCCAGGGTATGTAGTGAGTTCAAGGGCAGATTAAACTACATAATAAGACACTGTCTCAACCAAAAAACAATGGGTTTTTGCCAATAAGAAACAGGGTAATCATGTGTTGACTTCAAGTGACCTATTTACTCTCCTCTGAAACTGTCTGCCCCACTCAACTTTGTCACCCAGATCTAAGTCTGAGTTCCCCTGCTTGGTGAGTAGTACTATAGCATCAGCCAGAAACCTGTTACCTTCAACAATTCCCAGCCCAGATGACTAATTAATCACAAAAATCCACTTTATTTCTCCCAACCCTGCTAGAATCTCCCTTCTCTCCATCCACCCATTTTTCACCAGGGCCACCTCATGGTTTCCTGGGCTCTGACCCAGGCCCCATGCACAACGGTGTGCATGCTCCTGTTTGCAATGCAATGGTGCCCCTTGCCTGCTCCAACCCCTTACATGGCTCCCCGGTGCTCTTCTGCAGTGCTATAGCTCAGTTCCCAAAGGTACCTCACAGGCCAACTCTGCTTGTGTTCTCAGCATTGTCCCTTGGCCTCTTGCTGCCAAAACGTAGCCAGGCCAAACTACTTTCAATTCCTCTGATGTCTGGGCTTTTACACTGTTCTCCACCTAGAATATATGTCACTCTTTCCTCCTTCCCTTTAACCAACTCTCAGTTCAACTCCAGGTTTCCCCTGCACTGACAGCCCCATCTGGCCTGGGAGCCTCCATCCTGCCTGGTGAGCATACTCACCTTGTGTGTCCAGAACACTGCCTGATGTGTGTCTCCCACCAGCCTTAGGGTAAGGGCGGGGCTGCCCTGCTGTGTCTTGGACCTTACAAACAGTGGGTGCCCAAGTAATACCTGCCTCAAAAATGGCAGACCTGCACAAATACCTCCCCAGCCCCTGCTAGACCAAGCATTGTGCTGAGCTCTGAGGCCACAGAGTAACACCTAAGTCAAGTATGGTGGCCCAGACATGGTAGGAGGATCAAACCAAATTTAAGACCAGCATGGGCCACACAGTAAGTTGACTTCATCACACCAAAAAAAAAAGAAACAAACCAAAAAACTAAATCAGGTTTCTGTTTACATGGGACAAAGATGACCTTCAAGAGAAGAAAATGTGGGCTAGGGGTGTGGCTCAGTAGTATACAACCTATATCACACATATGAGGCCCTGGGTTTGGGTTTGATACCTAACACACGCCTTTATAAAGAGGATGACAAACCACTGAACAAACAGACATATCTAAGTGAGCTGGGTGTGGTGGCACAGGCCTGCAATTCCAGCACTCCGGGAGACTGGCAGGAGGATTGCAAGTTTGCATCCTGCTTTGGGCAATTTAGCAAGACACTGTCTCAAAAGGATGGGATGTAGCTCACTGTGGGGCTCTGAGTTCAACCCCTAGTACCAGAAGAAAAAAAAGAGTCATAAAATAGTAATTTGGGCTACCAAGAAAGTGGGGTGTGGTGCTATAGATAGGCGGAGGGTCTAGGAGGGCCCTTAAGAAGGCTTGAGCTGAACCCAAGCAGTTAAGAGCTGGTCATGAACCTTGGAGCTATGCAAAGGTATGAGAATGAGGTGGCTCAGTGGTACACACCTAGCATGTGTGAGGCCCTGGGTTCCATCCCCCGTACCTCCAGAGAAAGCAAGAACGGGGGTGGGTAGTGACACACACCAGTAATCACAGTGCTTAGGAAGCTTAGTCAAGAGGAATCTCCAAATCTGAGGCCAGCCTGAGCTACATAGTGAGTTTAAAGCCAAACTGAACTACAGAGTGAGACTCTCAGAAAAAAAAAAGGAACCATGATCAGAAAAGTATCATGATAAGAAATGACTCAGAACAGCTGGCCAGAGCCAGTGCCCTCAGGGCTTTCTAGGGCAAGAGGATTTATTCTAGGGATGATGAGAATTCACTGGAAAGACAGCCCTCCCGATGTCAACTAGTTAAATATCTTATATCTTTCAACTTGTCCCCTAAAAGGATCCAGTGTCAGAGATATACTGATTGATACAGGGAGCAAAAACTGATGTCGGGTGGATGACCTCCAAATGATACAGGGAGAAAACTGATCTCCCAACCTGAAAGGTACCTGAGATGACTTGGTGTTCTCTAAAACCAAAGAATGAATTTTAGGAACAGAGGTTATGAGCAGAATAGATTTATTGGGGGAAGGAAAGCTCCTCTCTGAGGGACAGGAGGGGGGCCCTGAGCGGGTGGGCCGTTGGGGAAGCTGTCTCTTCCAGGGACTTTTATAGAGGAAAACCATGTGGTGAGGCGGGTCTATGGTGGTGGAGAACATGGGAACTCACTTAGGTGGGTGTGAGGTGGAACAAAACTATGGTCAACCAAAGAGATTACAAGCACCATTGCTCAGGTAAAATTAAGTCCAGTACCAGGGGCCGGAGAGATGGCTCAGTAGAAAAAGCGCTTGCCTGGCAAGCGCAAGGGTCTGAGTTCAATCCCCGGTTCCACAAAAAGATCGAAAAATCCAGTACCAAATGGGGAAGTGAGTCACGTGGCAAGTAGGCATGAATATGGGACAAGGTTTCTTCCTGTTGGAAGAGATTAGTGACTCACTTGGGCTCTTTCAAGGTAATTGATACCTATTTAGAATATCAATCCCTGATGCCCATCCCTGGGGAAGTTTGTAGCTGTGTTTCCTCTTTTGTCTTGAGGTGTGGCCCTTATGGGAGTGTCTATCTCTCCCAAGCTGCAAAGTCACCTTGTCTTCCACCTTGTCTTCTTGAGGGCCTGGCCCTGTCTGACTGCCTATAATATTTCTGTTTAATTCAGCTGCTTACAACAATAGCTCAGATATATAGAGATATACCTCAGATGTACCTCAGGAGTTGTCTAGTGTGCATGTGGTCCTGGGTTCAATCCCCAGCATTGCACATGTGCGTGCACACACACACACACACACACACACACAAATACTGCCAGGTATCTATCATCAAATCAAGATACTCACATCCCTACCACAAATCTCAGAAATTCTCAGGCAGTTCCCTTCACTCCCAAAGTGCCACCAATCCCAGGCTGTATGGATGGCACACTGGCTGATGAAGTGGAGCAAGGACCCAATAGGCAATCGGAAACTGAGAGTTAGATACTCCGTTTTCCAAAGGCCCTGGTGTGTTCACACCAACTCCATCAATCCTTGGGCCCTCGTGCACTTCCAGATCACTTTCTGGGATATTCTTTACCTCAGTGGCCCACTCTTTCTCCTACAGCATCGTTTCTCCTTTTGGTTTATCTCCTTATTGGTTTTCTCCTTTTGGTTTAT